CACACCACTCACACCACTCACCCACAGGAGCCTGCTCGGCTCCCAGCTATTCACTGGGCCCCACACTTACACTTGATCATGCCTTTGGGCCTCTGCCCATCCAGTGCTGCTGTGCCCATTCTATTTCATGAAAGGGATCATTGGCTCACTTCTCACCTGCAAAATCCAGTTCCAAAGAATGTGAAATAGGATGCTAATCTGAGACCCTTACTGGTCCACACATAAGAAAAGAACTCTTCATAATCAGTAGAAATGGGTCAAGGACACAGGCAAATCTCCACTCCTGTCTCTCTGGGGGCTTCAGAACAGTCCCTTAGCTCTCTGGGCCTAGTTATTTTATCTGAGTAATGAAGAAAAGCACTAGAGTTTATGATCACCAAGTGCTCAGAGCCCCAATCTTTCCTTTTCTAATTTTATAAATAGCATTTCATAGCTAAATAAGAGACTGTTTATTATTCTATGTATAATTATCTACAAAGAAATTACTCAGAGCATAAGACATAAGCCAAAAAGATTCTTACAAAAAGAAACAGATAATAAACGCAAAACTTGCTTTTTCAGTGAACCACTTAAGAGTGGGGCTTTCAAGATGTGTTTTTAACTCATGGGTTCATGCCCTGGGATCCTCTTGCCGCTGCCCTCACATCTTCCCATGAGCACACGAGTGCCTCAGCTCACCATGTGGTTGCTTGTGCATTCACCTGGTGTCCACTCACAAGCATGTGTCTGACGGATACCTGCCAACCTGAGCATCATACCATCTCTATTGCTAACCTGGAAGAGGACCCAGACTTAATATACTGAAGACATATCATTTTCACATCCTTGAAAAGTTAGAAAATCATTATGTAAACCATCATAGGTCAGGAATCATCTTCAGTGTGACATGGCCAGGGGATGGTTTAGGGCCAAAAATAACAGTCTTTGCTTGCCCTGCTGGGGTTGGGCTGAGTCGGCAGTGCCCTCCTTCCTTCGCCTGCTACAGCCCAGCAAGATGTCATGGCATGTCTGGTAATGGCGCCTCGTGACTGCTGACAACAGGGCTCAGGTTTTCTCTGTCCCACCTTACTCTGCTTCAGCAAGAGGTCTCCCTTACCATCTCCTTGGGTATCTTGTGCCCTGGAGCTTCCAAGCTGGGAACAGTAGAGCAGGCAACATGTCTTGGCCACTTTGCAAAATTAAAAGCCTGTTTTTCTGTGAAATGAAATACTAAGCCTCATTTCAAAGTTGCAAATTGAATAAGTTTTTTGAAGGTTGAGAGTTATGTTGGAAAAAACCCAGGACAGACAAAGATTTGATGCCAAAATAAAGGTAAGTTTACAAAAATGTTTTAGGTTCTAGAAACCAGTGGTGTAGGAATAACAGGAACAGGAGATTGCATAATATTTTCCATACAAATATTTACTGACTCCAAGGGCAATAGCAGTAAAATATCACCCCAGGGTGAAACTTACTGCAAAGATTGGGGTGGATGGCCAGTGGATCCTTACCCAAGGGCCAGTGCATCTGATGTATTAGCTTGGGCTCTCCACAGTAGGGTGTTGTACGTTTATTTGCTCTTACAGAGTTACTCCCCTGGTCCATCCTATAACTACCCAGTGTCCGCTGCTTATACAATTTGCTGCTAGAAGCTTGTAGAAACATACAGAGTTACATAATGGTCCCTGTAGTCTGAAGACAGCCTCCTCAGACAGGAGCCCATAAAGCTAGAGAAGAAAATAGACACATGAGTGGTCTCTTTCTGCACCAACTTGTTACTTGCCTCTTAGGAAATAATAAAATGTATTTATTTCATTGTTTCCCATTTGTTGAATAAAAAATAGTTCCATCTCCACTCCCACGTACTCTAATTGGTTCTTCTAGCTGTACTTCTTGAAAGATAAAATTCCAAATAATGACTTGAATTTATATGCTTGGTTGAATTGTTTTAATTGTGCAAAAGAAACCTTCCATCTAATTAGGTGTGTAATCAGACTGCAAAGGTATGATATAGAAAATTATTATAGGTGATTTCTGTCAAGTTCAAAACTATGGGATTTTGCTCTGAGCAATTGTAGTGTAAATAGGTGATGGTATGATAGCCTCCCCTTTTGCTCCAAATGTAGGCAACTGAGAGATACAGTATACAAAGGGTAGATTAAAATGACATGTCAAGAAAAGCAACATGGAAAGTGGCTCTGGGGCTAGGAAAGGAATGGAAGTGTAAAGTGATGAGTGGAATCAGATAGACCTGCGCAAACATGCTGTGTAGATGTGAGTCCAGTTCCTATGACAGAAAAAAAGAAGGGGGGTGGGTAGAAGAAGAGAGAGACAGAGTACCCCCAACACATTTCAAATAAGCCTTCAAAATGGAATCACAAAGCACAGGAAGAATCTATTACTAATAAAAATAGCCAACACAGTCAAGAACTGGAAGATGAGAGCTGGCCAGATAGCTCAGCAGATTAAAGTGCCTGCTTAGGCAGATACAATGACTGAGGTTCAATCCCTGGCGTGCTATGCTGGCCCCACCCCCAGGGTGCACTGGGGCAGTGATTGAGACTGAGCGTGGTGGCACACACCTGTACTCCTAGTGCTTGGGAGGCTAAAAACAGGAGGCTCACTACAAGTCCGATCTGTATAGTGAGACCCTGTAGGCCTTATAATAAACACATTTTAAAAAATAAAGAACTGGAAGATGACTCTATTTCATATTAAATTAACCCCCCCAAAATCCAAAAAAACATTAAAAATTATTAAAATCTTTGGAGATATATAAAGAAGTAGAAATTATAAAATATAAATAGTAGCAATGTTATAATAGATGAATACTAAGAAATTAGAAAACAACCAAGTCAATGAAATAGAAGAATAAGTTGTAGACAGGTGAAGAAAGAACTGGCTTGAAGATGGTGTTGAGGAGATCAAATGGCAGCCCAGAAAGTAAGTGATTTGGGCAAAGAGAAATAACACGCATAGAGATAATGTCAGAGAAGCAAGCTATGAAATAGTGTTGGCTAAAACATGAGAAAATACAGTATATCTACTTCTACTGTGAAGATGAGTAAAAGCAAATCCCTGCATAGTTATGTAATACTGAAACTGCAGACAGTCGCAGCTGACAAGAAAAACCTTGAAATCTACCAGACATGAAACCTAGATTAACTATATATAATTTTATCAACAACTGGAATTTACAGAAGACAAAGGAATCATATCTATATAAAATGAAGGGGAAATCATTGTTTAGCTCTAAACCTGCTGAAATCCTAATTCAAAGGTGTGAATGTGCATGCGCATTTCTAGCTGTGTTAATCAACTAGATACTATGACATCTTTTGGCTAAAAACTTCTAAAAGACAGAATAAAATGTGTAAAACATAACACAGAATGCAAAACAAGGCTTGTGAGAAAGAAAGAGAAATCCTCAAACCAAAGTTAAACTGCAGCATGGGCCTGGAGTGATGGCCCAGTGTCAGAGTTCCCATCTCCATGGAACAGTCACCAATCCCAGAAATGGACACCTTTTGGCTTCATGGTTTGTGCCCAGGAAACAGGCCATTAGACAAGCATAAGTACTGCTAGAAAACTGGGGGTAGAATGGAAATCTCCATACAGAGCCAG